TTACATTCAAGCCACATATGGTAGCAATTGGTCTACCATCCTCCCCCATCTATGTAAGAGATAAAGTTACACTCAGACTTTGAGAGAAGTAGGCTGGAGGGTTTGTTATATATATATACATCTGTTTCCAATTATCTTTGTGGGACTACAAGTATATCAGCCCATTTTGAGGAAAAGGTGGGGGCTGGATTGCTTTCTAGAGCAGGACAAAGGTTTTAAAGCTTACATTCTTGGACAGCAAGGAAGGGAGCTGCTTGCTCATATCTACACACATTCATATTATACACACACAATTACATACAATTTTATTATTAAGAACTTAACTATACTTTTTGGACTTTATTTAAACATTCTGTATTCCAATATTTTATTTCTAATTTTATGCAACGTTATTATTAAATCATCTTTTTGAGTTTATACAAGAAATGGAAGGACTTTCTATCTGAACATTTCTCATCAATACAAGTTAAGAAAATATCGAGACAATACGATATTTTACAAATAGACAAATATCATCACCCTGAAACTAAAGGTTTTAAGGGAGAGAAAATCCATTCGATAATATTGGGGAATTGACTTTCGCATTCAAATTTTGTATCTGGTTAACCGCGCTCGCTGTCTTGGCAGATCATTAGTAGTCTTTTACAGCCATTTTAAGATCACACTACTCTTGTACTAATCTAGTGTTAGTGATGGGAGAACTTGCATGGCTTCAATCCTTGGAACTCAGTGTGAACCAGGGCTAAATCTTAGATTTTGTTATTACCAAAAGAGGAAGCAGGTTTTTGTACTACTCTGCATCACTGTGAGGGGAAGCTGGCTACTCTGCTGACAGTAATGAATTGCAGCATCTTAATCCTTTATGTTGCTGATATTAAAGCCTCGTGCACACTGGAAATTATAAAACCTCCAGTAGCATTAGCTGTAAAATGCTGTGTTAAAAACGTGAGTTTTGTCGCATTTTTTAGCGTTTTTGCTTTCGCTTTTTTAGAGTTTTTGGCAAAACTATATTCCCACAAAAGCTTGTCGCTCAAAACACTCGTAAACACTTTCAGTGTTTCTCAGCTTTAACCACATGCCGCCCAGCCACTGTATAAATACAGCAGCAGGGCGACACGGCTGGGCAAAAGCACGTTTTAAAACGTACGTTTTGTAAACAGGTAGGGGGCGCGCACGAGGCGCGCCACCGCCCTACCTGTCCCGACGATCACAGCCGCGGATGTCAGTCGCTGGGTCACAGCCAGTCCTTACCGGCTATGTTCCGGCGATCGGCGGCAATAGCTGACAGAGAGCACAGCTGCAGTAGCTCTGCTTTCTGTCAGTTCCCTGACAGCTCCAGCACAAGCTGATCGGGACAGAAGAGTTTCTCTCTCCCGATCAGCGGTGTCCCGTGCAGTACACACCCCCGCCCCCTAGTAAAACACTCCCCCTCACACAGATAACCCCTCCCTGCAAAATAAACATAACCCCTTCCTCCCCAGTGCCATTAGTACAGTGTCAGTGTTTTTTTTTTTTTGCACTGATCACTGTATTGGTGTCACTGGGGATGTCAGTGACCCCAAGTCAGTACCCCCCAATGTCAGAATGTCCGCCACAGTCCTGCAGTCCCGCCATAAGTCGCTGATCGCCGCCATAAGTCACTGATCACCGCCATAAGTCGCTGTTCGCTGCCATTATTAGTATAAAAAAAAACTAAAAATCCCAGTATCTTTCCGCCATTTGTAAACGCTATAACTTTCACGTAAACCAATTAATTTACACGTATTGGGTTTTTTTTTTTTAGCAAAGACATGTCGCAGAATGCATTTTGGCAGAAATGTATGACTAAATTTGATTTTTACATTTTTTCAAGTCCAAAATATTGTTTTTTTTTCCTCAAAATTGTCAGCCTTTTTTTTTATAGCGCAAAAAATAAACACCGCACAGGCGATCAAATACTTCCGAAAGAAATCTCAATTTGTGGGAAAAAAAAGGATGTAAATTTCATTTATGTACTGTATTGCATGACCGCGCAATTGTCCATTAAACTAGCGCAGTGCTGTATAGCAAAAAAAATGGCGTAAATATCTATACCATAGTTTGTAGACGCTATAACTTTCACACAAAGTAATCAATATACACTTATTGGGATTTTTTTTACCAAAAACATGGAGCAGAATACATTTTGGCCTAAATTTATAACCAACTTTGAGTTTACTATATATTTTTTATAGCTGAAAGTAAAAAATATTGTTTTTCTTCAAAATTTTTGGCCTTTTTTTGTTTAAAGCGTGAAAAATAAAAAGCGCACAGGTGATCAAATACAACCGAAAGAAAGCTCTATTTGTGTGAAAAAAAGGACGTAAATTTCGTTTGGGTGCAGCATTGCATGACCGCGCAATTATCAGTTGAATTAGTGCAGCGCCGAGTAGCAAAAAGAGGCGTGGTCATTAAGGGGGGTAAATCCTCTGGAGGTCAAGTGGTTAAAGCATTTTTACAGCTGAAAAACTCCTCTTCAAATGCAGTAGTTCTGTTTTTTTTTTTCCAGACTGAAAATTCCCCTGGCAAAAAACACTGATAAAAGCCTATGTGTGCATGGACACATTGAATAATTTGCTGGGGAGTTTACTGGCTGTAGAAAAACACGCCTGACGCCCAACACAGCCTCTGTAAAAACGTCCAGTGTGCATGAGGCCCAAAAGTGAAATCTGTTCCAGACTGAGATCCACTGAACTGGGTCTCCAGACTGCAGAGTGGTATTATATCTGATAATCAGTGTTGGAGGTTGTCCTAGTTTCTGCTGGAACCGATGTAAGTTGCCGCTGATATCAGACAAGAAAAAGGTAAGAATCTTCAGGAAGGTTTGGTAACATTCTAGCAATGTGTGTAGATAATCTAGAGGGAATTATGTTTTTCTCAGTATAAATGAACTTCACTCTAAATCTGAGATTTATTATTACTAAAAGAGGAAGGAGGTTTTTGTACGGCTCTGTACCACTGTGTGAAAGGTAATCTGTTACACTGCTGACAGCAATATTCTGCTTCATCTTCATCCTTTATGTCTCTGATTGTAAGAGTGAAATCTGTTCCAGATCCAGATCCACTGAACCTGTCTGGGGCTCCAGTCTGAAGATTGGATGCATACCAGATAATCGGTGTTGGACGTTGTCCTGGTTTCTGTTGGTACCAATTTAAGCAGGTGCTAATACCAGTACTGGATTTACATGAGATGGTGACTGTCTGTCCCGGAGTTGCAGCGATCTCTTTCGGAGTCTGTGTCAGTATAGTCTGTGTCCAGGATCCTGAAGATAAAAAAAGAAACCAATTAAAATGTAATGTCTATGTACAGATCATCTCACAATGTTTACAAACTAGGAGCCTATGGATATGAGAACACAGTAACTTATATATTCTCTCTTCCATAAAATATTTTTTCTTCAATGCTATTCATATAATTTACCATGATACAAATTATCCTGAGAATCTCTCACCCTGAATATAAAGCAGTATGAGAGGCAGCAGAACCCCCTGAGAAGCCATCCTGATGTCTCTGCACTGACACACACAGACTACTGAGATGTCACCGGTACAATGTCTCCTATATAACAGCTGACATCATTAGGGGGGAGCCCCCCGACATCACATATAGAGAACAGGAAACATGCAAATCGGATCTCATCTTCATATGTCACACTTCACTTCTTTATATAACGTAAGAGCAACAGCAAGAAAGGCTAAGTGATTAGATGTCTGAGTGTCTGAATCCGATCAGGGACTCAGCATGAAGGTAGTGTGATTCCTCCTTTTGTATTAGTTTCCTCTCCAGTAACACATATATACTACTACTGTATATAGTCCTGGAAGGGTGGGTATTGAGGTTATAGTGTAACCTTCCTCCATGAACAAGAACTTTATTTTGCAAAGCATCCAATATAGGCTTTCTCAACAAGGGATTCATGGAAGCATAGTGTTCCTCCAAAGCGGGGGTCAGCAACATGTAGATCAAGATTTACCAATAGACCACGGCCGGGTGACTGGTGGATCACAGTCTGGGCTTGCTGACACGCCATCCCAGAGCATCAAACAGAGTGCAATGCAGAGGGATACTTGTAAAGCTGGAGCTGTGGTAGGGAGCAAGAGCCACATTAGCCGGTGCCTCCTCTGTAGTGCCAGCTCCTGTCCCATGCGGAGTGATACCAACTGCACTCCACCTCTTATCCTGGCTAGCGCCTATACTTGAATGCGACTGACAGGCGGTAGCACCCACCAAAAGAAACAGGGGTTTAGTTCCTGATGCAGCATGTGTACATCTTTGGCTGCTGCCCTAGTAGCTAAAGGGGGTAAGGATTGGGGGTGGTAAAACCAGGATTCAACCACAGGGTTTTACCTCGCAACTTTACGAATGAACAAGCCCTAAGGGTGCCGCTGCTAAATGCAACTAAGGGCTCATTCACAAGTGCAGCAGACACTGCTGCTCCTCTGAAAAGCGATCAAAGTGTGTTTGACAGGTGCTAAGGAGGTGATATGTTGCCTCCTTACCACCTGATTTAAACCCATGATTGCCATACAAGGCACCTGATTGCAGCACAGTAGTACGCCAATTAGAGGTTTAAATCATCTGTGAGGTGAAGACTCTGAGCCCGGTGATTTTTGGCTTCTCCCATGTTGTTCAGATAGAACTCCACCTCTTTTCGGTTGCCTAGCCCTGCTCCAGAGGTTGCTAGGGGTTCCTTTACCAGTGAACAATATTGGATTGATCTTCTACCTACTATGATTACCAATATAAGGGGCCAGTTTCCCATTTGAAAAATAAATAAGAAAAACCAAGATCCTACCAGGCTCTACGTCTTATTATATGAACATATAAATAATGGGAGGGAGCCCGCCACAACAGCCTATATCAAAACATCCCTTGCATAAAAGAAAGGTTTTAGCTCAACTTCTCAACCAGAATAATTCAAAATTAAACAATGAAAATTGAATACCGACAGATATAAGTGACTGCATTACTATTTTTTATTAATCAACCACTTGCTAAACGTACTATAGCTGAATGATAGCTACAGAATGATTGTCCAGTTCTGGGAGGGCGCCATATGGCATCCCTCCAGAACATGCCCTCCCGCGTGCCCCCCAGTGGCACGCACCCAGCGATCTCCGTAATGAGGTAAAGGGCCAATCACACAGCAGATGATGGACAAAATACAGTTGCCAGTTATCGGTCCCACTTTTCCTCACGCTGTCACAGTTTGAGAAAAGTACTGCCGGTGACCGTCAACTGTCACAGCAGACCAGCACTGATCATCAGGGTACTGATGATCAGTGCCCTGCAGTGCCACCCACAAGTGCCAACCACCAGTGCCCAGCAGTGCCACCCACCAGTGCCCCCCATCTGTGCCACCCATCAATGCTGTAAAAGCAGTTGCACCCAGCAGTGCCGCCCATCAGTGCCACCCATCAGTACTGCCTATCTGTGCCACCTCATTAGTAGCCATCAGTGCTGCCTATCAGTGCAGCCTCATCAACGCACATCAGAAGGATGAAGAAGAGACATTACTCGTTTGCAAAATTATATAACAGAAACAGAGAACTTTTTTTCAAATTTTTTCCTCTTTTTTTGTTTATAGTGCAAAAAATAAAACACCCCAGTGGTGATTACATACCACCAAAAGAAATCTCTATTTGTGTGAAAAATAAATGAAAAAAAGTATAGTGATGCATGACACGCAATTGTCATTATAAAAACGCCAGTAGCATTAGCTGTAAAATGCTGTGTTAAAAACGTGAGTTTTGTCGCATTTTTTTGCGTTTTTGCATTAGCTTTTTTACCAAAAGCAACAGGGGTTTAGTTCCTGATACAGCATGTGTACACCTTTAGCTGCTGCCTTAGTAGCTAAAGGGGGTAAGGATTGGGGGTGGTAAAACCAGGATTCAACCACAAGGTTTTACCTCCCAACTTTACGCATGAACAAGCCCTAAGGGTGCCGCTGCTAAATGCAACTAAGGGCTCATTCAGACACTGCTGCTCCTCTGAAAAGTGATCAAAGTGTGTTTGACAGGTGCTAAGGAGGTGATATGTTGCCCCTTACCACCTGATTTAAATCCATGATTGCCATACAAGGCACCTGATTGCAGCACAGTAGTACGCCAATTAGAGGTTTAAATCATGTGTGAGGTGAAGACTCTGAGCCTGGTGATTTTTGGCTTCTCCCATGTTGTTCAGATAGAACTCTACCTCTTTACGGTTGCCTAGCCCTGCTCCAGAGGTTGCTAGGGGTTCCTTTAGCAGTGAACAATATTGGATTGATCTTCTACCTACTACAATTACCAATGTAAGGGGTCAATTTCCCATTTGAAAAATAAATAAGAAAAACAAAGATCCTACCAGGCTCTACTTCTTATTATATGAACATATAAATAAGGGGAGGGAGCCCGCCACAACAGCCTATATCAAAACATCCCTTGCATGAAAGAAAGGTTTTAGCTCAACTTCTCAACCAGAATAATTCAAAATTAAACAATGAAAATTGAATACCGACAGATATAAGTGACTGCATTACTATTTTTTATTAATCAACCACTTGCTAACTGTGCTATAGCTGAATGATAGCTACAGAATGATTGTCCAGTTCTGGGAGGACGCCATGTGACGTCCTTCCAGAACCAGTGGCACGCACCCAGCGATCTCCGTGATGAGGTAAAGGGCCAATCACACAGCAGATGACGGACAAAAATACAGTTGCCGGTTATCGGTCCCACTTTCCTCACGCTGTTACAGTGTGAGGAAAGTACTGCCAGTGACCGTCAACTGTCACAGAGCAGACCGGCACTGTTCATCAGGCTACTGGTGATCAGTGCCCTGCAGTGCCACCCAGAAGTGCCAACCACCAGTGCCCAGCAGTGCCACCCACCAGTGTGCCCCATCTGTGCCACCCATCAATGCTGTAAAGCAGTTCCGCCCATCAGTTGCCACCCATCAGTGCCCATCAGTACTGCCTATCCGTGCCACCTCATTAGTACCCATCAAAGCTGCCTATCAGTGCCCATCAGTGCTGCCTATCAGTGCAGCCTCATCAACGCACATCAGAAGGATGAAGGAGAGACATTACCTGTTTGCAAAATTTTATAACAGAAGCAAACACCTTTTTTTAAAATTTTTTGCTCTTTTTTTGTTTATAGTGCAAAAAATAAAACACCCCAGTGGTGATTACATACCACCAAAAGAAAGCTCTATTTGGTGTGAAAAATAAATGATAAACAGTACAGTGTTGCATGACCACGCAATTGTCATTCAAATTGTGACAGCACTGAAAGCTGAAAATTGGCCTGGACAGGAATGGGGTGAAAGTGCCCGGTAGTCAAGTGGTTTAAAACCAAGACAAAATTACATACATATATAGACCCATTTAAAGGTATTCATGGGTCAAGGTCACACCAATGGATCTGTTGGACCAAAAGACATATATCTGTATATACAACTATTTCATTACTCTCTACTCATGTTGAATCAATGAAACTGAGAGCTCACAAAAGTGAAGGGACAGCCATAGAGAATTAGCGAGGATGAAAAGAGTGGCCACTCAATAAAGAAGGTGTGCAGCTGCTAAATAGATGTTGCCCTCACAGTCCATCTTTCAGGCCATAACCAAAGTGTATTAAATAGATCAATTTCATCTCAAGGCCTAAAAAAAAAGCCAAAAAAACAAGACAGAATTCTGGTTTACTTTGTACTTGAAGATAAATCGGCTAATAATTCTGCTGGATATTTGGTGTTTGAACCGGATTTACTTATAAGCATCCAAACCAAGAAGAGGACGGCTGGGAGTGGTCCAGAAGAGGAAAATGATTACAATGGCTGGCTGCAGATGTATGTCAGCCCAAATGCATTTAGCATAAGCATGCACCTCCCCCTCGCACAAATAGCTGCTTGAAGCGTTAGTAGCAAATATTCAATCAACGAGAGCCACGAATAGTGATGTTAACAAAAAATCAATGTCCCATGTATATGTGACTCTATCATTCGTGATGCAGCCATGTGAGGATAGTGGCCATTTTTCAATCCATTATCCAGCATAAAGTAAAGGTTGCCCCCTGTTTTAGGGAGTGTAAATATGGTATACTAATCATCCATTAAAGGTCCGTCATAGATCCTAGTATGGCCGATGACCCTGCCTGACTGGTTTCTCCGGACCCCCCTCCCCCCTG